CGGGAGGCTGATGGCAGGAGAGTTGCTTGAGCCCAGGAGTTTGAGGTGCTGTGAGCTAGGCGACGCCACGCACTGTAGCCCGTGCAAGAGCACGAGTGAGACTCTGTCTCAAGAGAAATAAAAAAAAAACAAAAAATTTATATTTTCTTTGTGTTAGAATCCTGAAAACCCATTCTTGAGCTATTTTGAAATATACAAGTTATCAAGTCACGCTGTGGTGGCCGAGACGCTGGGAACTAACTCATCCTTTTCTGTGACCTGCTTGGTAGCATTCATGGCATTCCTCTTTGAGCTCAGTGATCTCGTGGACCTCACAATCAATCGGGACCCCTGCTCACTTACTCCTTGGTGTCCTTCTGCGTTCCTTGTCCCTCAGGTGAGACTCCATTTGCACCCTTGGCAGGGTCGGGGCGCCGACGAGGTGGAAGAGGTGACAGTCCTCTTCTGCCTTCGTCCTGCCCCTAAGTGTCCTTCTTACACTCGGGAGGGGGCACAGAGTCCCCCTTATACATAGGGACTGTTCAAGATCCCCACGGAGATGTCGAACCCACGGGTCGTGACCAGACCCTCCATGTACTGTTTTGTTCCCACCTGGTAACCTGAGGCCTGCTGAGTGACTGTCATAACGGCAGGGGAGCACGCACGGTAGGAGCATGCTGGACAAAGGGACGATTCCACGTCCTGGGCGGGTGGAGCGGGGGCATGCATGCGCCCATCATGCTGCTCAGAGTGGGTAACATATGTGCATTCCTTGAAAATTCATGAAATAGTATTCCTAGGCGCAGTGGACTGCGGTCGAAACGACTGACGCAGTGGACAGTAGCTGGGACTACAGGCATGCACCACCATGCCTGGCTGATTTTTGCTATATATTTTTAGTTGGCCAATTAATTTGTTCCTATTTTTAGTAGACACGGGTTCTCGCTCTTGCTCAGGCTGGTCTCAAACTCCTGACCTTGAGCGATCTGTCCGCCTGGGCTTCCCAGAGTGCTAGGATTACAGGCGTGAGCCACTGTGCACGGCCTATAATTAATTTTTTAAGGCTGGTCAAGTGAAGCAGTCTAAATGGAAGTGGACAAGGAACAAAGGAATCTGTAAATGGTTGTGATCAATTACTTGTAAACAAGATAAATGTTTGATCATCACACATTGCATAGATTTATCAAAATATCACATTATGCCCCATAAATATGTACAATTATTATGTGTGGATTAATAAAAAGGATGAAAGTCGAGAGTTGTGGCTCACGCCTGTAATCCTACCACTCTGGGAGGCCAAGGAAGGCATATCCTCTCAGCTCAGGAGTTTGAGACCAGCCTGAGCAAGAGCGAGACCCAGTCTCTACTAAATATAGAAAGAAATTAATTGGCCAACTAAAAATATATAGAAAAAACTCGCCAGGCGTGGTGGCACATGCCTGTAGTCCGAGCTACTTGGGAGGCTGAGACAGGAGGATCGCTTGAGCCCAGGAGTGTGAGGTTGCTGTGAGCCAAGCTGACGCCACGGCACTCACTCTAGCCGGGGCAAGAGAGTGAGGCTCTGTCTGAAAAAAATAATAATAATGATGAAAGCAAACAAAAAAAGAAAGAAAGAAAAGAAGAGAAACAGATGGAAACGGGAGGATGAGAAAGCAGCCAGCGGAAACACCAGGCGAGGACCAGGCTGGGCGGCTCACCTGCGAAGAGCCCGGACAGGACGGTGGCGGCCGCGGGCGTGCCGGTGCGCGGGTGCACGCGGGCCAGGCGGCGGAAGAGGAGCCCGTCCTGGGCCATGTTGTAGACGACGCGCGGCACGGGGAACATGGCGCCCAGGAGGCTGGGGGACAAGAGCGGCGCGTGGGGACACGGGAGCCCCCACGCGGGAGCCGGGGACCTGCGGGCGGGCGGGGCCACGCCGGCGCTGACCTGGACGACAGGGCGCAGAGCGTGCCCACGGCCACCGCGAAGCGCACGGGCGCCCAGCCCGCGCGGACGAAGGCCTGCGGCAGGGGGCTGTCCCGGCGGATCTCGTAGTAGGGCACCATGAGCGTGAGCGCGGCCGCCACGCCGCAGTAGGCCAGGAAGCAGACGGAGAGCGTGAGCGCGATGCCCAGCGGGATGGCGCGCTGCGG